TATAAGAGTAAATATCACATAATTTATTATACAAATAATTAAGATAAAATCAAAACAAAAAAATCCACATAAACATATTAAAAAAAGTATCATACTAACAAAATTATCTGCCCTACACATCGCCTACAAAAAGAACTGCCACGTCATCTTCATCTTTCTGACCAATACTGGACATCTCAACTCCCTCGCTCTTTGTTGAACGGCGACAGCAAGCTACTATAATACACCGGGAAATCAATATGAGAACCACCACAATGGTGGCGTAAACTATCGGAAAAACCCATTCTCTGTGGGGTTTTTTGTCCGGTTTGACAAAATGAAAAATATGAGTCTTAGGCTCATTAGCAGTGCGGGGAGGAGGAGACATTACGGCTGTTTCAAAAAAAGCGACAAATATCAACTAAAATATTATAATTAAAATTTAAAATACTCCAAAACAAATCTAAAGAAAATAACTTGCTAAATTATAAGAGTATATGTCGTTTAAGTTAATTTGCTAAACTAAAAGACTCATAGGTTGGACTTTTGCATTAGCACATTCATTAATATTAATATAATCTTCAAAAAAATTGCTTCTAAAATAATGATAGTCATTAAAAGAATTAGAATTTCGACATATATTTTTTTAATTTTTTAAAATTATTATTTAATAAATTTTTTTATTTTAATTTGGAATTAATATCATACTAACAGGAGTAGCAATATGACACACACACACACACACACATATATATGTATATATATATATATATATATATATATATATATATATATATATATATATATATATATATATATATATATATATATATATATATATATATATATATATATATATATATATATATATATATATATGTATATATATATTTATATATATATATATATATATATATATATATATATATTTTATATATATATATATATATATATATATATATATATATATATATATATATATATATATATATATATATATATATATATATATTTTCAGTAAAAAAGATTGCATTGTTGAGTTATATTTCTTAATTAATTTTTTAAAAAAATTTCAATAGTATATTATTTTAAAATTTATTTTGCAAATGGATCTATCTGAAAACGTGTCTTACGATAAAAAATATTAAACTCTTTTACGGAAAAAATGAGAGAAAAAACAAATTAAATTAAATTACAATTAATTTTATTTTGAAAAAGGTGCATTTTTTAGAAAAAGAGGCTTAAATTAGATAAAATTGATGTTATTTGTTTATAATTTGTTACAAGAAAGATGAGTGTTTTTTTGCTTATAAACTGTTATGGAGGAAGAACATTTTAAAACAAATGCGCGTAACATATTAGTTTTCGTGTGAACGCACATGTATCTTTACCATGATTCATACAAACCCACAAGTTATTACATTTTTAGAATAATTAAAGAAAATGAAAAAATAGAAATAATTTATGAATCCGAACTCAGAAAAATGTATTTTTTTAATTATTTATCTTAATAATATTTTTATTTCAAAATAATTGTTATCATACCCCAAGAACAATGATAACCATTAACGATATTTTTTTTTTTTGAATCAAAAATTTCATTAATCCAAAGTCAATAGTACACAAGGCGATCAAAATCCAGCCCACACCACGAAAACTAAAAAAGACTTACTGTACCATCAAGATAGCTATATGTGGTCTAAGCTTAGAGCTCGACCACCCTCTATAAACTATGTTGTTAATGATTCTATCTATACAATTCCTACTGTCTAATATTTGATTAAAACAAGTGTCATTTCTAAAACTCCACAACTCATGTAAAGTTTCAGTCAGCGCTAATCTAACAAGCTCAGCTTTCCAACCTTTTCCTCCAAAACAATTCAACATCCATTTTAGCTCCTCATTCCAATTCCCGGGAATGTGAGAGATACCAATCCAGTGAAGCATTTCTACCCAAGTCTTTCTCAGAGTATCGCACTCAAAAAATAGGTGGTCAATGGTTTCCGCCACAGGGCAAAAAACACACTGGTTATTGTTCACCATACCAAGCCGATGCAATCTGACTTTTGTGCCTAACTTCCCATGACAGATCATCCAGAGAGTATAAATTGCACGAGGTCTAGCTCTATTGTGGAGAATTAGCTTGGCCAAGGCAACATTAGGTGTGGCAGGTAACAAATTCGCATACACTCTCCTACCAATGAATTTCCTTGCTTGCACCATCTCATTCCAAACCATCTGCATATTGCCTATGTTTTCCCTCTGCAGAAGAATAGTTTTAAGAATATTTGGATCTGAGTTTTTTACCATTCTATACATTATATCCTCATTTTTCAGGTAATAGGCATGAATCCAACGAACCTACAGATCATCAGTTTTCATGGATAAATTCCAGAGTAACTTCATCATAAACATGTTATTCCATACAACTAAATCAAGCACATTCAAACCTCCTTTAACAGCAGGTTTACAAACCTTATCCCACGCAATCGGACTCTTTCTACTAATGATGCTACCTCCTGTCCATAGAAAGGATCTACAAATGGAATTAATTTTGCTAATCACATTTTTAGGGAAACAAACACACTGCATCCAATAAGAGGTAATAGCATACAAAACAGATTTAATCAGCTGTAATCTGCCGGCATAACTAAGAAGTCGAGAGCTCCAATGAGTAATCCTACTCAGCAGCTTATCCACCAATGGCATATAATGAACCACAGACAGCTTTTTACTACTCACTGGGACTCCAAGATATCTAAAAGGGAGAGTCCCCTCCTCATAAGCAGTAAAATGCAGGATTGATTGTTTGACAGGATCTGAAACACTACCAAAATATACTTTACTCTTGGTAGGGTTAATCTTCATACCTGTAGAATCCAAAAAACTATTGACGGTGCGCTGCAGAATCTCCATGGAACCTTTATCACCTCTAGAGAACAATAGTAGATCATCAGCAAAAGTAAGATGGGTGAGCTGCAGCTTTTCACATCTGGCATGGTGATTGAAATCCGGATTTCGTTGCATTCTGAATAGCAACCTGCTAAAGTATTCCATAATAATAACAAACAGAAGGGGGGACAATGGATCCCCTTGTCTAATACCCCTTCTTGCTTCCACCTTGTCAGTGTATTTACCATTGATATTAAATCTATAAGAGACTGTGGTAACAACAGTCATGATCCAATCAACAAATCTCTGTGGCATCCCTATCTCATTGAGGATATGACCAAGAGCACCCCAATCAACCATGTCATATGCTTTTTGGATATCAAGCTGGACCGTACATCTTGGCGTACCATTTTTCCTACTGTAACCATTTAATAATTCTCTTGCCAATAAAATATAAGAGTGAATATTCTGGCCAGGAACAAATGCTGCCTGAGCTTTACTGATAATAGTCCCCAAAACTCTTCCAAGTCGCGCAGTGAGGATCTTGGAAATGATTTTATACACAATTGTGCACCCTGCAATAGGCCTATATTCTTTAATCATTTTTGCAGCAGGATGTTTAGGTATCAATGTAACAATAGTCTCATTAAATCTTTTGTACAACACATTTTCCTCGAAAAATTCCTGGACAGCTTCAACAACATCTTGCTCTATGATATTCCAACTAGCCTTAAAGAATTTTCCACCATACCCATCAATACCAGGACTCTTTAGGTCACCAATCCCTTTAATAGCAGTATAGATTTCAGCAGCAGTAACAGGGGTAATAAGCTCAGCTCTCTGCAACATAGATAATTGTGGTCCCTCCCTCATAGCATTGATATCAATCATACTCACCCTATGTTCTTGAATCCCATACAGATTAGTATAAAAGTCACATACCTCCTTTTCTATGTCAGAAATACTCCGAGTATAAGTGCCATCCTCCTTCTGAAGTTGACTGATGTGAGTACTAGCATTTCTAGAATTGAGGTATGCATAGAAAAATGCTGAATTTGAATCACCTTCTCTAAGCCAATCCAATTTTGATCTCTGTCTTAGCATTTTAACATTAAGGTCCTGTAGGTAAGTCACTTCTTCAGTAAACTTTCTCACCTTATCAATGTTCCTTGCATTCATTCTGTCCACCCTTAAATCTTCCTGCGCTTTGAGAAGTTCAGTCCTGGCTTTAATAATGGACATATGGATATGAGAGAACTGCTTGCTCAATTTGATAAGAGGAGCCTGCAACCTCAGCAACTTGTACCACAACCGAGCCATAGGTCTTCCCATACACCTTTTGTACCAACTCTGCTTAACAGTGTCCTGATATCCATCCACCTTAATCACACTATTAGTAAACTTGAAGTTGGTGTGTACACTCCTGTTTCTTTTCTGGTCAGACAAACACAATAAGCAGTGATCAGAAATACTAGGTGGGAGAATCTCTAGCTTCATATTAGTATTTTCCTGCAGCCAGTCAATATTACCAAGCACATGATCAATTTTTGAGTATATAGTGCCTACAAAGTGTTTATTTGTCCATGTAAAATAATCACCTGTGCTATCCTTCTCAAAAAGCCCAGCATTATCCATCAAGTTTCTTAAATCAACATATTCGCTCTCAGTCACCAAGTTTCCCCCAATCCTGTCCATGGATTTTGTCACATTGTTAAAATCTCCCATTAGGAACCAAGGCCCATGTTGGTTGTTGTGTATATGCTCCAAATCCTCCCATAATTTCCTTCTTTGGTCCAGCTGATTCATAGCATAAATGGCTGTCATCCAGTGTTGGAAGTTGCCATTAACATCATAAATTCCACAGTGTATCATCTGATCTGTGCATCTCACCATTCTGATATCCTTATATCTGTCATCCCAAAAAATCCAAGTCCTACCATTGTAATGAGATTGATAGTTGTCAATATATTTACCTCTGAGGTTAAGATGTTCTCTAACTTTCTTTGCTTTCTCACATTTAACTCTAGTTTCAAGTAGTATAGCAATGTTGGGATGAAGGTTTAGGAGACGGGAGCTAGTCTCCTTTAGCTTCCCCATTTTATTCAGCCCCCTGATATTCCAAGAGACAATCATTGGCCAGTGTTTTGAGCCTCTAGGAGATCCTTCAAAATCTCTAGAGCATCAAACCCATTGTCATGTGAAAATACACCTGCAGCTTCAACATTACCTACCATTTTACCTCTATCTCTTCCACTTTTAATAACCTCAGTCCATTTTTCCATAACTTTTTCCACATCCTTATTTCTGATAGAAGTAACCTCAGCAGCAGTAGAGCCATCATTCTCCTTCCTGCTCTGAACTATATCCAAATTGACATTTCCTATTTCAAGAGGCTCTTTATTAGCATCCCCACTCTTATTAGACATCTCATTAGCTTCAGGTTGTTTCACATTCCTTGGTATCCATTGTTTCCTCATCTTAGGCTTTTCACAGCAGTGACCTATCTTTTGACATTTGTTGCAGAAAAGAGGTCTCCACTCATACTCAATTGACTGTTGCATCTTTTCTCCAGCATGATCAGCTATGGTGATTGATTGAGGTAGTTCCTTTGTAATATCCATTTCAACCAGAATACGCGCATAGGATACTCGCAATCTGTTTGCAGTACATTCATCTGTCATAATAGGCTTACCTAGGGCACTCCCAATCTTATTCAGGCTTGTATCACCCCACAACACGATAGGGAGTTGGGGAAGTTTAACCCAAATAGGTAAGGTTCTTAAGAGTTCATCCTTGATCTTGAAATCTGGCCTCTATTCACGAATCAACAAAGGAATGTTTCTTAACATGTATGGTCCTCTCAGCATAACTTCGTCTCGATCTGTGAATGATTTGAACCGGAGAATGAAATACCCTTCATCATTGAAATACATGTCCGGTAGTTGAACAAAATTCCAAGTTCTGGTCATAAAATTCTTGACCGCATTCATACTCAAATCCGCTCCCATAGCATAAAGAATCAGCGAAGATTCCCAAAACTTGATTTCAGAGCTGACATCATCTTCCTCAATTTGAACTTCGATTTTCCCTTCCACGACTTGAGGGGGTATGAACTTCATAGCACGACCTTTCGCCGGATTCCTGTTGTCTTTCAACACATCAGCCCATAGCTTTCGCCCTTCTTCAGGAGTTGGAGTTGACCTAGGTTTTTCCAGTTCAATTTCGTTACTCTTCTTCGCAATGCTTCCGTCTTCCGTAGCATCTGAGGTTTCTCCAAGGTACTTGATTCCCACATTTTCCTCTGTGCTGAGATTCTTGCTGACATTGTGGCTTTGCAAAACCGATTGAGACACCGGAGTAGAGACCACCGACGATAATGGTGGTGGAGGCACCGATTTGTTTTTTGGCGGCCGCCCTCGTCCCATCCCTAATTTGGTATCATGCCAAATGGAAACCATTAACGATATTGTACTAATTGAAAAACAAAATTAAACAAAAAGAATATGATAATTTTTGCAAAACATTTATCATATTATCATAATAAATATTTCATACTATATTCTAATTTAAGTTGACAAATAAATGATATAAAAGCAGTATTTTATAATTTTTTATGCATACTAAAAAAAACTTACAAATAAATATAAGAGTAAATATCACATAATTTATTATACAAATAATTAAGATAAAATCAAAACAAAAAAATCCAAATAAACATATTAAAAAAAGTATCATACTAACTAAATTATCTGCCCAACACATCGCCTACAAAAAGAACTGCCACGTCATCTTCATCTTTCTGACCAATACTGGACATCTCAACTCCCTCGCTCTGTGTTGAACGGAGACATCAAGCTACTATAATACACCGGGAAATCAATATGAGAACCACCACAATGGTGGCGTAAACTACCGGAAAAACCCATTCTCTGTGGGGTTTTTTGTCCGGTTTGACAAAATGAAAAATATGAGTCTTAGGCTCATTAGCAGTGCGGGGAGGAGGAGACATTACGGCTGTTTCAAAAAAAGCGACAAATATCAACTAAAATATTATAATTAAAATTTAAAATACTCCAAAACAAATCTAAAGAAAATAACTTGCTAAATTATAAGAGTATATGTCGTTTTAGTTAATTTGCTAAACTAAAAGACTCATAGGTTGGACTTTTGCATTAGCACATTCATTAATCTTAATATAATCTTAAAAAAATATTGCTTCTAAAATAATGATAGTCATTAAAAGAATTAGAATTTCGACATATATTTTTTTGATTTTTTAAAATTATTATTTAATAAATTTTTTTATTTTAATTGGGAATTAATATCATACTAACAGGAGTAGCAATATGACACACACAGACACACACACACACACAGATATATATATATATATATATATATATATATATATATATATATATATATATATATATATATATATATATATATATATATATATATATATATATATATATATATATATATATATATATATATATATATATATATATATATATATATATATATATATATATATATATATATATATATTCTCAGTAAAAAAGATTGCATTGTTGAGTTATATTTCTTAATTAATTTTAAAAAAAATTTCAATAGTATATTATTTTAAAATTTATTTTGCAAATGGATCTATCTGAAAACGTGTCTTACCATAAAAAATATTAAACTCTTTTACGGAAAAAATGAGAGAAAAAACAAATTAAATTAAATTACAATTAATTTTATTTTGAAAAAGGTGCATTTTTTTGAAAAAGAGGCTTAAATTAGATAAAATTGATGTTATTTGTTTATAATTTGTTACAAAAAGATGAGTGTTTTTTTGCTTATAAACTGTTATGGAGGAAGAACATTTTAAAACAAATGCGAGTAACACATTAGTTTTCGTGTGAATGCACATGTATCTTTACCATGATTCGTACAAACCCACAAGTTATTACATTTTTAGAATAATTAAAGAAAATGGAAAAATAGAAATAATTTATGAATCCGAACTCAGAAAAATGTATTTTTTTTAATTATTTATCTTACTAATATTTTTATTTCAAAATAATTGTTATCATACCTCAAGAACAATGATAACCATTATTGATATTGTACTAATTGAAAAACAAAATTAAACAAAAAGAATATGATAATTTTTGCAAAACATTTATCATATTATCATAATAAATATTTCATACTATATTCTAATTTAAATTGACAAATAAATTATATAAAAGCAGTATTTTATAATTTTTTATGCATACTAAAAAAACATACAAATAAATATAAGAGTAAATATCACATAATTTATTATACAAATAATTAAGATAAAATCAAAACAAAAAAATCCACAAAAACATATTAAAAAAAGTATCATACTAACAGAATTATCTGCCCAACACATCGCCTACAAAAAGAACTGCCACGTCATCTTCATCTTTCTGACCAATACTGGACATCTCAACTCCCTCGCTCTTTGTTGAACGGCGACAGCAAGCTACTATAATACACCGGGAAATCAATATGAGAACCACCACAATGGTGGCGTAAACTACCGGAAAAACCCATTCTCTGTGGGGTTTTTTGTCCAGTTTGACAAAATGAAAAATATGAGTCTTAGGCTCATTAGCAGTGCGGGGAGGAGGAGACATTACGGCTGTTTCAAAAAAAGCGACAAATATCAACTAAAATATTATAATTAAAATTTAAAATACTCCAAAACAAATCTAAAGAAAGTAACTTGCTAAATTATAAGAGTATATGTCGTTTTAGTTAATTTGCTAAACTAAAAGACTCATAGGTTGGACTTTTGCATTAGCACATTCATTAATCTTAATATAATCTTCAAAAAATATTGCTTCTAAAATAATGATAGTCATTAAAAGAATTAGAATTTCGACATATATTTTTTTGATTTTTTAAAATTATTATTTAATAACATTTTTTATTTTAATTGGGAATTAATATCATACTAACAGGAGTAGCAATATGACACACACAGACACACACAGATATATATATATATATATATATATATATATATATATATATATATATATATATATATATATATATATATATATATATATATATATATATATATATATATATATATATATATATATATATATATATATATATATATATATATATATATATATATATTCTCAGTAAAAAAGATTGCATTGTTGAGTTATATTTCTTAATTAATTTAAAAAAAAAATTTCAATAGTATATTATTTTAAAATTTATTTTGCAAATGGATCTATCTGAAAACGTGTCTTACCATAAAAAATATTAAACTCTTTTACGGAAAAAATAAGAGAAAAAACAAATTAAATTAAATTACAATTAATTTTATTTTGAAAAAGGTGCATTTTTTAGAAAAAGAGGCTTAAATTAGATAAAATTGATGTTATTTGTTTATAATTTGTTACAAAAAGATGAGTGTTTTTTTGCTTATAAACTGTTATGGAGGAAGAACATTTTAAAACAAATGCGAGTAACACATTAGTTTTCGTGTGAACGCACATGTATCTTTACCATGATTCGTACAAACCCACAAGTTATTACATTTTTAGAATAATTAAAGAAAATGGAAAAATAGAAATAATTTATGAATCCGAACTCAGAAAAATGTATTTTTTTTTAATTATTTATCTTACTAATATTTTTATTTCAAAATAATTGTTATCATACCTCAAGAACAATGATAACCATTATTGATATTGTACTAATTGAAAAACAAAATTAAACAAAAAGAATATGATAATTTTTGCAAAACATTTATCATATTATCATAATAAATATTTCATACTATATTCTAATTTAAATTGACAAATAAATTATATAAAAGCAGTATTTTATAATTTTTTATGCATACTAAAAAAACATACAAATAAATATAAGAGTAAATATCACATAATTTATTATACAAATAATTAAGATAAAATCAAAACAAAAAAATCCACAAAAACATATTAAAAAAAGTATCATACTAACAGAATTATCTGCCCAACACATCGCCTACAAAAAGAACTGCCACGTCATCTTCATCTTTCTGACCAATACTGGACATCTCAACTCCCTCGCTCTTTGTTGAACGGCGACAGCAAGCTACTATAATACACCGGGAAATCAATATGAGAACCACCACAATGGTGGCGTAAACTACCGGAAAAACCCATTCTCTGTTGGGTTTTTTGTCCGGTTTGACAAAATGAAAAATAGGAGTCTTAGGCTCATTAGCAGTGCGGGGAGGAGGAGACATTACGGTTGTTTCAAAAAAAGCGACAAATATCAACTAAAATATTATAATTAAATTTTAAAATACTCCAAAACAAATCTAAAGAAAATAACTTGCTAAATTATAAGAGTATATGTCGTTTTAGTTAATTTGCTAAACTAAAAGACTCATAGGTTGGACTTTTGCATTAGCACATTCATTAATCTTAATATAATCTTCAAAAAATATTGCTTCTAAAATAATGATAGTCATTAAAAGAAATAGAATTTCGACATATATTTTTTTGATTTTTTTAAATTATTATTTAATAAATTTTTTTATTTTAATTGGGAATTAATATCATACTAACAGGAGTAGCAATATGACACACACAGACACACACATATATATATATATATATATATATATATATATATATATATATATATATATATATATATATATATATATATATATATATATATATATATATATATATATATATATATATATATATATATATATTCTCAGTAAAAAAGATTGCATTGTTGAGTTATATTTCTTAATTAATTTTAAAAAAAAATTTCAATAGTATATTATTTTAAAATTTATTTTGCAAATGGATCTATCTGAAAACGTGTCTTACCATAAAAAATATTAAACTCTTTTACGGAAAAAATGAGAGAAAAAACAAATTAAATTAAATTACAATTAATTTTATTTTGAAAAAGGTGCATTTTTTAGAAAAAGAGGCTTAAATTAGATAAAATTGATGTTATTTGTTTATAATTTGTTACAAAAAGATGAGTGTTTTTTTGCTTATAAACTGTTATGGAGGAAGAACATTTTAAAACAAATGCGCGTAACACATTAGTTTTCGTGTGAACGCACATGTATCTTTACCATGATTCGTACAAACCCACAAGTTATTACATTTTTAGAATAATTAAAGAAAATGGAAAAATAGAAATAATTTATGAATCCGAACTCAGAAAAATGTATTTTTTTTTAATTATTTATCTTACTAATATTTTTATTTCAAAATAATTGTTATCATACCTCAAGAACAATGATAACCATTATTGATATTGTACTAATTGAAAAACAAAATTAAACAAAAAGAATATGATAATTTTTGCAAAACATTTATCATATTATCATAATAAATATTTCATACTATATTCTAATTTAAATTGA